GGTCTGTGAGGGCTAAGCGTTCATCTCCTGCTGCTAAGAGGGTCCCTTCTCCTTCTTGTGGGGCCCAATCAACCCATTGATGTTTATTCTTAGAAATAAAAGAGGAGACACTTCGTTTGCTTTTCTTTTCTGCAAGAGTCTCCTTAATAGTTTGAGGTAAGAAAGGCACATTCTTATTCAAGAGGAGACGGGTCTTACCCCCTAATGGCTGCACAAAGAAGCAGCCGCCTTGCTGATGCAGCTGACGTGTAGAGAAATATACAGCACATTGCTGCCCTGCAACACTGTTCTGCAGCAGCAAACAAACACAAACGAAACTAAAAGCATTCAAACTGTCTCCTGTCTCCTCTCATTTATCTCTCATCTACACTCGTGTATACAGCCTCTCTGTTTTGGGGCTTCATGCATGCATGCATGCATGCATGGATGCGCAGCAACATCAACAACAGCAGCAACAGCACCAGCAGCAGCAACAGCACCAGCAGCAGCAGCAAGTAGCGCATGCAGTGCAGCAGGAGGAGACATGTGTCTCCTTTCCTTACATGGTTGTCAATGATATTTGCGTATCTGTTGCTGCTGCCAAATAATAAATGAGTTCCATTAAACGGCACCCGGGCAAACTCCTAAACAAATAAAAAAAACAAAATCATAAACGCATGCATGCATGCATGCATGCATGCATGCAGACAGACAAAGACACGCACAAAGACATAATAGAGGCAGAACAATGAAAACAAAGACAAAAGGAGACAAACAAAGACAAGGAAAATAAGCAAAGACAAACAAAGACAAGCAGAGACAAAGGAGAAACAAATAGAGACAAAAAGAGACAAACAAAGACAGAGAAGACAAACAAAGACAAAAGGAGACAAACAAAGACAAAAGGAGACAAAAAGAAATACAGAGACAATCAGAGACAAACAAAGACAGCAGGGACACATAGAGAGAAATAACAACAAGCGAGACAACAGTAGCAAGCAGCTGAGGACAAACAAAGACAGAAAAGAGACAGAAAAGAAGCAGCAAGAAGTGCTGCATGCATGCAAAGGACTCACCACACCGTCTTCATAAATAACTACGCTAAAGAGACCCGGAGGAGGCGGCGTTGCGCTGGGGGGGCATCGATAGGCCCCCACAACGAGTGCTGCAGCAGAGACAAAGGAGAGAGCAGCAGAAATAAAGGAGACAGCAGCAGAGACAAAGGAGACAGCAGCAGAGACAAAGGAGACAGCCAACCTCACCCTCAGAATTAAGCACTCCGCGTGTCTTCTCCATGTCTTCTCTCTTAGCTGCACCGAGTCCCTCCGGCTGCTGCTGCTGCTGCTGCTGCTGCTGCTGCTGCTGTTGCTGCTGCTGCTGCTGCTGCTGCTCGCCTTCGGTTGCTGCTGCTGCTGCGCCTTGCAGCCTCACACCAATTGTTGTCTTCCCCGTTATTCTCTGCTTTCTTCTGTGGTTGCTGATTGCTTCTCGCGCTGCCTCTCTAAATACTTCGTCCGTTACTGCTGTAAGGATCTCTGTAACAGCTTCTTTTATTTGATCCACTAGAGGAGGAGGAGGAGGCGCTGCTGCTGCTGCTGCTGCTGCTGCTGCTGCTGCGCCGCCCTCTGAAGCACCTGAACGCCGACGCTCTCCTGCTGTCTCCGCTCCTGTCTCTGGAGACACCCCACGAGGAGAGTTGCCTCCCTTAGAAGAAGGAGTCAGCAGCTGTCCCCCTGCAGCAGCAAATGCAGTAGCAGCAGCAGCAAATGCAGCAGCAGCAGCAGCACATGCAAACAAAGCACATTCACTGTCTCTTGATGCTAAGGCTCAGGAGACAGCGAATGTAAAGCCCGCAGCCAGAGGCCCCAAATGAAGGGAAGCAGCAGCAGCAGCAGCAGCAGAGGCAGCAGCAAGCAACAGCACGAGCAGCGCAACTACCAGCAACAGAAACACGAGCAGCACAAGCAGCTACAGGAGGAACACAAGCAGCAGTACACGCAGCAAGAGCAGCAGCAGCAGCATCAGGAGCAGCAAAAGCAGCAGCATCAGAAGGAACATCAGCAGCAGCAGCAACACCACAACCAGCAGCAGCAGCAGCACCGCAACCAGCAGCAGCAGCAACACAAGCAGCAGCAGCAGCAATAGCAGCAGCATGACCGCAGATCTCCTAACCTTCTTCTTTATCTTCTTCCTTTGATTCTTTTGCTGCTTTCTGCTGACTCCCTGCCTCCAGCACCACCTCTCTCAGCCACTGAGGGATGCCTTTACCCCCACGAGGGGGGCCCCCAGGGGCCCCCTCAGCCCGCTCTGCAGCACAAGACAACAACGAAGCAGCAGCATCAGCAGCAGCATCAGCAGCAACGCACCCAGAGGAGACAACCGAAGCAGCAGCAGCAGCAGCAGCAGCAGAAACTAAGGGGGGACAAACAACATCGAGGAGACAGACAGCACTATGCTAAAGGAGAAAGCTATCAAAATAACAATGCCTACCTCCTGCAGCACTGGGAGCAGCAGCAGCTGCTGCAGCACCAGCAGCAGCAGGCCCCTGCATCATACCACCCTGTGGGGCCCCTGGCCCCATTCCTGTAGGAGGCATGAACCCTCCACCGATGCTTGCTAAGAAAGAGGGGCCCCCTGGGGCCCCCGGGGCCCCCGGGAAGCCTGGAGGATGTGGGGGGCCCCCAGGCATTGGGAGGCCCCCCCCAAGGGGCCCTGGGGGCCCCACTGGGGGCCCCATCGGGTGAGGCATAGGCAATCCCCCAGGCATAGAGAGAGGCGGACCTGAGAAGGTAGGGGGGCCCCCAGCCTTAGCTGGATCTCCTATTGGTGGTGGAGGAGGGGGAGGGGGCCCCCTAGGGCCCCCTCTCATACCTCTAGTGTCTGGGGGGCCCCTCTGATTGTTGCCCTCTGCCTGAGACGCCATCTGTACTGCTGCTTGAGTTGCTATCAAAGCCATTAGAGCTGTGGGGCCCTGTTCTGATGTCTTATTAGAGACCCATGCTGATGCTTGTTTGGCCCAGAAGCTATCACTTTCGCTGGCTTTCTCCTGGGGTTGTGGGGTCTGGGATCGGGATCGGGATCGGGATCGACTCCCAGAACTACGGGAAGAGATCGAAGAACGGCGATGGCGTTCATGCTGGTGCTGCTGTTGTTGCTGCTGCTGCTGCAGCTGCTGCTGCTGCTGCTGCTGCAACGGCCCATCTGCATTCTTTTGAGAACGAGCAGCAGCAGAACCTGCTGCTGCTTTTTCTACTGCTGCTGCTCTTGCTGCTGAAGATGAGCGATGCCTCTTTGCTTTTTTCTTGGCTTTGCTCTCCTCCCCCCCTCTACGCCTTCTACCCCCAGACATTTGTTTAATTTATGGGATCCTCAGCAGCATATGTGTCTATACACCTGAAGAGTCTCTGTACAGCTGAGGCAGAGAAGAAAACAAGTGCCTCTAGCAGCAGCAGCAGCAGCAGCACCAGCAGCGGAGGTGGGGGGACAGCAACGAGCTCAGGGCCCCAGAGACTGCAGCAAGAGAATCGCCAGCTTAGGAGTATAGATTAAGCTAAGAGAAGCAAATAAAAATAATATAAACTACTCAAACTACATAAACAAACACCAAAGACGCAGCAGCAGCCTCGTGTTGCTGCTCCTGCTGCTGCTGCTATCGCCGGGGCTGCGCGAGCCTCACGACAACTGGGCCTCAGAGTTGCCAGCAGCAGCAGCAGCAGCAGCATCTGCTGCTGCAGCAGCTATTAGGAGGAGCCCAAGACACAGCATAAACAAAAATTCTAAAGATAAAACAAATAATTAACAGTGAAAATACTCATGAAACAACAAGATGCATTATTTCCCGCGTGCTGCAGCAGCAGCAAGGCCGTTTCGCTTGCGAAGCACCCTTATCCTTACTTTTCTATGAGCAGCATTTTGTTTCTTCTGTTGATTTTAAAGATAAATACTTTTAAGATAAATAATAAATAGAAATGCGTCTATTAATGCATTTATAAGCCTCCAGAGGTAGCAAAGACATTGCAGCAATAGGCACGGGCTGCTGCTGCTGCTGCTGCTGCTGCTGGTATTGCTATTGCTGCTGCTATTACTGCTGTTGCTGTTGCTGTTGCTGTTATTGTTGTTGCTGCTGCTGCTGCTTACTGCTGCTCTCTCGCCCGTTGTGCATACAACAGCAGCACTGCTGTATAACGCCTGGGATCTACTGCAGGATGCCTTTGTGTATATCTCTAAATTTATTGATATGTTGGTTAATTTATTGTTTTATTTATTTATTTATTTATTATAATTAATATTATTTTGCTTCCATTCAAAGCCGCTGTAGATGCATTCGGTTCTACACAGAGAGACAGCATGCATAGCTTAGTGTAGGCCGATATATATATAGCTGCGTTGCCCCTTCAATATTAATTATATATTTATTTCTACTTGCTATTGGAGTGTATAATGAGAACTAAATGCATATTTTCATCGGTTTACATTGATAGGGCATGCATAAGAAGAAGCAAAGAAGAAGACTCTTAATATATATATCTACATATATATATATATATATGCATATATATATATATATAGATATATGTTTATAGATATATATATAGTGAGGCTTTATAGAAGGAAATACATAAAGAAACAGTATGATAGGCTGTCTCTTCTTCTCTTTAATTAAGAGTTTGTAGATATTTTCTGTTGATTGCATATATAGAGATAGGAGGAGGCATAGGCTGCTTCGTTTGTTTCTTATAATGCAGATTGTTAGAAGAGGAAGTAAAGGCCTTTAATAATACTATTAGTACAGAAACATTGTTAAGAAAAACAGCAAAAAATAAATATATTTATGTTAATATATATATATTCTTTACTTACTTCCAATGCGCTGCATGCAGGCCTCTTAATAGCAATGTGCAGACACAAGAAAACAGCGAGAAAGCTAAGTGCGTTCCATAGAAAATATATATAAATATACAGATATAGACATATATATACATATATGTATATATATGTATATATATCTGCATATATATCTATACATATCTGCATAAATATCTATCTATCTATCTATCTATATATATATATATATAGCCTCTTCTTTACCCCAGTAAAGTATATCTGTTATTAAAGATATTTTATCTTTAATAAGGGGTTCCTGAAGGTATTAATAATTCTTTATTGTATATAAACGAGAGAAAGATAAAGGAGACAGTTTAAAGGAGACAGTTTAAAGGAGACAGTTTTCTTACTGCCTCTTTATTCAGAATGCCTCCACCTCTACTAATTATATCGTAGTATAATTTAATAAATTAATTTATTATATTTAATTACAGTCGAATAAAATTAAATATATTTAATTAAACATTGAACTAGTGCTAAACACATAGGCTCTTTATATATATATATATATATATATATATATATATATATACATATATATGTATACATTTAATATATATATATATATATATATCTACATATAATATATATATATATATTTGAGTATTACCTGAGTGTTAATTTTCTTTTCCTTCTCGTTTTAAGACAGCACAAAATATTAATCTTCAGAGGAGACAGCAGCAGCGCTGCACATGCATTAAAATAAATTAGGCTGCCTCCTTATTAGAAGTCTATAGTCAAGCACTCAAATCTGCAAGCCCGGTGTCTGCTACGCTAGCTGAGGCTGCAGTGTCTGCTGCAGCAGACCTTGCTGCTGCAACACAGTTTGCTGTTGCAGCAGAATCTGCTGCTGCAGCAGAATCTGCTGCAACAACACAACTTGCTGCTGCAGCAGAATCTTCTGCTGGAGCAGAATCTGCTGCTTCAGCACAACTTTCTGCTGCAGCAAAACCTGCTGCTAGAGCAGAATCTGCTGCTAGAGCAGAATCTGCTGCTTCAGCAGAACTTGCTGATGCAGCAGAACCTGCTGCTGCAGCAGAACCTGCTGCTGCAGCAGCAGGCGGAGAAAACGCCACTTCGTGCAGCAGCAGGAGAACATCATCATCTTCTTCAAAGCCCAGCGCCCTGAAGAGGTGCTGCAGCTTTGCAGCACTGCATGCGTCTAGTGCAGCACGCCGCTGCAGCAGCAGCTGCTGCAGCGGGCCTAAGAACTGCCGCATGCTGGGAAACAGCCTGCAAGAGCAGCAGCAGCAGCAGCAGCAGCAGCAAGAACAAGCAAACCGGTGAAGCAAGCTAACAGCTACTACCCCCATAGAAACCCCACACTTACGTAAGGTGTCTGTGCACATACAACAGCAAGCTTCCTTGCTGCAGCAGCCCCAAACGCATGCATGCATGCAGAGGAGTTGATAACAACAGGTGGGGCTGCCCTAACTGCTGATTAGCAGCAGCCTACAGTCATCTCTTCTGTGAAAGAGTTCATTTATATTGAATGCACATAAAATATTTATATAAAAGATATATATATATTATATTATATTATATATAACTAATATAAATAATATAAATACTTATATTTGAATGAAGTGGGGCCCCTCACATGCAGTTGGCGAGCGCCTCCGCAATCCTCAATACAGGTTGCAAGGAGACAGCAGCTCCTGCTGCTTTGCTGTCTCCTTTTATATTTGTTTGCTGCTGCTGCTGCTGCTGCTGCTGCTGCTGCTCCCACGCTAACTCTCGAAACACAGCACAGAACCACTCCTTAAACAAATGCTCTCCTGCTGCTAGGACCTCAGCAGCCCCGGGGCCCCCCCATAGAGATGGGGGCCCCCTAGAGTTTGTAGAAGGTTTGTCTTGGGTATGAGCTGCTGCTGCTGAGTGCTGCATGCATGGGGACCTGTGGAGAGGTGTCTGTACACCCCAAGGCCCTTGCTGCTCTTGCTGCTGCTGATGAACGGAGGGGCAGCTGCTAAGAGAAGAATTCTTTTCTCCTGGAGATCCTGCAGCAGCAAATGGCTGCAGCAGCACCCCCAACGAATGCAGACAGCTAAGGCGAGTGCTGCTGTCGAGCGGTGCAGCAGCAGCAGCTGGGGAGAAGACGGGGTGCCAGGGCAGGCCTTCCATTGCGGCAGCAGCAGCAGCAGCAGGAGCAGCAGCTCCTGCTGCTGCTGCAGGAGCATGGCTGCCTCCCGTTCCCGCTGCAGCGCCGCTGCAGTGCTTCGGTGCTGCACTTGCTGCTGCTGCACCTGATAGCTGCTGCAGCCTCTCTATAGCCAGCAGCAAATCTTGAGAAGGTAAGAAGAGTCTCCATCGAGCGAAAGTATGCAGCAGAGCCCCCAACTGCTGCGGCATAAACAACGCCAATGAGGAGACACTCGCTCGCCTGCAGCAGCAAACCGCGCAGCACACAAAGCAGCAGCAGCAGCAGCAGCAGCAGCAAAGTAAACTCCACAACAACCCCACTAAATAATAAGCACACTAACGACCACATTAAATAATAAACGTCTCAGTAATAATAAATTAAAATAATATGCAATAATAAATAAATATTAATGTGTTTATTACGCAGAGGCTGTGGGGTTGCGGGCTAAGGATACACCGCACCCCACACTCCAAGAGACGCAAAGACACGCAGAGACAGCAGCAGTTTAAATAATAAATAAGAAAAGAAATACCTTATATGCTGCAAGACAGATAGAAGTGCTGCTGCATCATCGCCTTGAGACTGCAGCAGCGCTAAACCAAAGGCTTGCGCTGCCACCGCTAACTCCGCAGGGGCAGCAAACTGAATGCGGTCGCAAGCTGTCTCCACGCATGCAATAAACAAACGTCGGTGAGGAGCAGCACACAAGCCCTCCTCGCTACTGCTGCTGCTACTGCTGCTGCTGCTGCTGTTGTTGTTGCTGCTGCTGCTGCTGTGCGTCGTTGCCACGGCTGCAGATGCGGAGCCTTCTGCTGCTGCAGTAGCTGCAGCAGCAGCAGCAGCATCTGCTGCATCTGTTGCATATGCTGCTTCATAGGGGTAGGGGGGTGTTCTCCCAGCTGCCCCTGAAGAGCCTGGGAGCCGCTGCGCAGCAGCAGCAGCAAACGCCTGCAGCAAACGCGCGACATCCAACAGAGTCGCCTCCCCAAGGCCCTTCATAGCCTCTCCTAAACGCATGCATGCACACGCATCAACAAACTGTCTCCTTCTGCAAGCTCTGTTGCTCCTAGTGCTGCTGCTCCTGCTGCTGCTGCTGTTGCTGCTGGAGGTGTCTCCGTTGCAGTGCGTGCTGCTGCAGTGATAGGGGGGCAGGAGTGTGCGTATGTTTCTGCTCCTTGAGGCGTTTAGGGTTTAGGGTTTAGGGTTTAGGGTTTAGAAGGGTGTGGGGTGTGGAGTTGGGGCTGCAGCAAACCTGCAACAGCAGCAAATAGCCTAGGGTTTGTGTATGAAGCGCATGCAAAGCCCTGAGCTACTACCGCCAGATCCCTTAGGGGTAGACGCGATCGCCGCAGCAGCCGCTGCACATGGGCAGCAAACTCCTCCAGCAACGCCGTGTCTGCTATCTGCAGCCAGCAGCAGCAGCAGCAGCAGCAGCAGCAAGGAGAGCAACGCAGATGCAGCAGACGCCGAATCCTTACCCCCATGACTCAGCCCCCCCACAGATAGTGCAGCAGCAGCAGATTCAGAAGCAGCAGCATACGCAGTAGCATACGCAGCAGCATATGCAGCAGCAGATCCAGTAGCAGCTGCAAATGCAGCCGCATATCCAGCAGCAGATGCTGCAGCAGATGCAGTAGCAGCCGCAGAAGCAGCAGCAGCAGCAGGAGCAGGCGAAGTTGCGTGGTAGTGTGGGGTGTCTGCGTATACACCCCAACTGGGCGCATCCTTCTTACCTTTATTTTAACCACAGCATTTAATAGCATTGCGACTTCAAACAAATGTTGAAAGCCCCCAGCAGACAGCAGCAAATGCATGCGACGACGTGCAGCTTGCAGCAGCTGAGGGCTTAGAGATATAGGGGCCTTAGATAGAGCAGACAGCACCTGGGCCAGTTGCAGCTGCATGCACCCACCCAAACCCTAAACCCTAAACACTAAACCCTAAACCCTAAACCCTAAACCCTAAACACTAAACCCTTAGCTCTCAATCCAAACACTAAAGCCCAGCCCGAAGCCCTGATCAAGAAAACATACTCCTAAACCCTAAGCCCTAAATTAAACGCCCAAACCTTATGTCTAAACCCTAAACATTAAACCCTAAACCCTAAACCCTAAACCCTTCTGCCCCAAGCATAGTCTTGCTTGTAAACTGGCAGATGCGCTGCTGCATGTTTCTCTTTCTTTGTTTTTTGTGTTTTGTTTGAAGCCTCCTTCTATGAATTTAAGGGCTGAGTGTCTATTTGCTGCTGCTGCTGCTGTCTCTGCTGCTAGAGACAGGAGACTCACAGAAGTGAAGACAGGCATAAAAACCTCTGCTCTCTGTGCAAGCGAAGAGACAGCAGGACGAAGTGTCTCCTCAGGGCAGCGCGCTGTCTTGTGCAGAGCATGCAGCAGCACTGCTACTTCGCTTGCACTCAGAGAGGGCCCCAACTAAGCAGCAAACAGCAGCAACACAACCACAAGCAGCAGCTTTAATAAAGAAGAGACACAAAACAAACATATACACAAAAAGGAGACAGTATATACACCACGCATGCAGCAAGGATGAGACTAAAAACAAGGCACAGAGGCATAAGAGAGCGCGTAGAAATGCAGGGCTCCTACTGCTGCTGCTGCTCTTGCTGCTGCTGCTGCTGCTGCTGCTGCCGCTGGCGCTGCTGCTAGGGGGATGGAAAAAGGAGACAGAAGAAAAGACATGAGGATACAAGAAAGGAGCGGGCGAGCAGAGAGAGAGAGAGAGAAGAGGCCTCCAGATAAGCAGAGGCAGCAAATCAGCAGCAAAAGCAGCAACAGCAACAGCAGCACCAGCAGCAGCAGCAGCAACAGCTCACCTGTGCTGCCTGCGTTGCTACTCGACTCCAGAACGCCGCGTCTCCTCCATTAACTCGCGCTGTCTCTGCAGCTGTTGCAGCCAGAAGAGACCCAGGGGAGGCACAGGGGGGCCCCCTTGCACCACCGGGGGGCCCCCCTAAACCCCAGGGGGGCCCCCCTAAACCCCAAGCTGAGGCCCTTAGGTGCCCTCCAACACCTGCGCATGCACAGCAAGCCCCAAACAACTTCCTCTCTTCCTCTATCAAAGCTCCAGTACGCTCTGCATGCATGCATGCATGCATGCAAGTTAGAAGCAGCAAAGGCTGCTTTTTTAGGGTTTGTTTTGCTAGCAGCAGCTCAAGAGGAGACACCTAATAACCTCAAAGGGATAGACGAGTGAAGAGACAAACAAAGAGACGCATGTAACGCACTTGCTGCTGCAGCATCGAAGCCTTCCCGCTTAGCGGGGGCCCCAGTGGGGCCCCCGGGGCCCCTCTCCATTAAGGGGCCCCTGAGGGCCCCCCGGGGGCCCCTGAGGCCCCTAGGAAGAGAAGAAAAGCAGCAGTGCAGAGATAGGAGAGACAGCAAGCCTCTTCGTGTTGCTGCTGATTGTTTGCATGCAAGTGAAAGACAAATTTCAGCGCTGCAGGCGCTGAAACCGTGTTGCTGCTGCACTTGCTCCTGCTGCTGCTGGTGCTGCTGCTGCTGCGGAGGCGAAGCTGCAGCGGCAGAAGACACCACTTTTGTAGCGCATGCATGCAAAGCAAGCGGAGACCTGAGGGGCCCCCAACTCACAGCAGCAACGGGGAGGCCCCCAGGCGGCTTCTGCCGGCGGCAGAGGGGCCCCCAGGGGCCCCGCATGCGCGCAGCAGCAGCAGCAGCAGCAGCAGCAGCAGATGCCCCAATATTTCCTGCTGCTGCTGCTGCTTCTGCTGCCAGCCCAGCCCTCAGCCCCTGCAATGTCTCTCGCTTGTTCTTCGCATTCTCCCGCAAAAGAAACTCCAGCAGCCTAAACCCTAAACCCTAAACCCTAAACCTAAGGGAGAACGCTGCAGCCTACACCTAACCCCTAAACCCTAAACCCTAGTATGCACTGAAATTCGTCTGAACTGCGGAGGCTCCGGAGAAAGTAGAAATTCAGGCAGAGGCAAGAGGCACCACGCTGTTGAGGGTTTAGGGTTTAGGGTTTAGGGTTTAGGGTCTGCAGCTCCACAGCGATGGTGCATACACTAGACGCCCGAATCAAAGGATTAGTATTCTGGGCCTTCAGTTGTGTGTCTGCTTCTGCTGCTGCAGCTGCTGCTGTTCCTTCTGCTGCTGCTGCTGTTCCTTCTGCTGCTGCTGCTGTCGCTGCTGCTGCTGCTGCTGCTGCTGCTGCTGGTCGGATCTTCTGAGGATTCTGCGGCTCCCTAGGCAAAGACAAGCAAAAGGGTTTGCTGCAGCAGCAGAGAAGCAGCTGCATGCATATGCATGCGAGGGAAGTAAGAAAGAAGAAGAGGTAGAGGGGGCCCCCACTGGGGCTGTTGCTGCTGTTAGTAGAAGTATATGTTTATGCTGCTGCAGCTAAGGAGCGGCAAGAGGTTTTTTTATATTAATAAAAACCTTAATTTTAATATAATAATAATAATATAATAAACAATAAAGAAATACAAGAAAAGATATATACGTGCTTGAAAACTATACAGAGGGCCCCAAGGGCCTTCTCTCTTAGAGGCCCTTTACTGTCTCCATAATTGCAGTGTATAGGCAGCTTTCGTGTGTCTCTCCAGCTGTATCTATTTAATTGTGTTTTAATTCTTATTATTAACTTAATAGCTTCTTTATTATAAAGGCTTCTTAGAATCCTGCGGTGTATGTACACTACAGCACAAGCAGCAGAACGCTGCGCCAGCCAATGAGGCCTGTAGGAGGGCGCCCTGCTGCTGCTGCTGCTGCTGCTGCTGCTGTTGCTGCTGCTGCTGCCTTACTGCTTGTATGCAGCGGTGTGTAGCTGAAGATCTCCTCACACAAGACAATAAAAGTATTATAATAAAATATTTATTTGTTTTTAAACATAGAAGAATAAAGAGAGACAGCTGGAGACTGCCCCGGTAGCCCTGGCTGTCTCTCCCATCTGCAGCAACAGCAGCAGCAGCAGCACCAGCAGCAGCAGCAGCAGCAGGAAGAGTTTCTTCTTTTCCTCTAGGAACAGCGACTGTCTCCTTTTAATGAGCTGCAGTTCACGCTGTCTATCCATTTTCACTCTCTTTTTGCTGCTGCAGAAAGGAGACAGCTGCCTTCATCGCGAACCGACGGTCTCCTTGAGGGTGCCCAGCGGTCTCTGTCTCTCAGTCTGTTTGCATAGCAGCAGCAAAGCAGCAGCAGCAACAAGAAGACACCGCCAGCTTGTTTATTTCCTTTATCTTTCTTATCTCTCTGTCTCCTTCTGTCTCCTTCTGTCTCCTCCACCCCCCCTATTCTGCTGCTGCAGAAAGGAGACACCCACCCTCCAAGGGCCTCGCGGCCTCAAGGGCTCAGCAGCACCAAACATAAGCAGCAGCACCAGCAGCTACAATCAGCAGCAGCAGCTAACAGCAGCAGCAGCAGCAGCAGCAGCAGACAATGCCTGTGTACGCAGAGGGCATCCGCCACCAGCGGAACTGCCCCGTGGGTGCTGCTGAGGAAGCAGCAGCAGCAACAGCAGCAGCAGCAGCAGCAGCCGCAGCAGGTGGATCAGGAGATGGTTTTACTTCAACATCTGAAGACATAGGAGACAGTTCTGAAGATGAGACAACGAGCACAGACTCTGAAGATTACGCTCTAAGGAGACAGCGGAGACAGAGGAGACAGAGGAGACAGCAGAGACAGCAGGAACCTCAGAAACTCTGTACTGATAAACGCTGCTGCACTTGGTTTGACCTCGCTAACTGGTTCGGCTACCTCCCCCTAGAACTGTCTCCTGCAGACTTTGAAGCTTGCTTCACTGATGTCGCAAACGGAGGCCCCGGGTATAACAACAATGCTAATTTACTGTCTCTTCTCTCTCTTTGTCTCTTCTGCTCCCTCTACTGTCTCATCTGTCTCCTCTACTGCCTCCTCTGCCTCCTCTACTGTCTCCTCTGTCTCCGCTACTGTCTCCTCTGCCTTCTCTACTGTCTCCTCTCTCTTCTCTCGCTTATCTCTCCTGCCTCCTCTGTTTCCTCTTCTGTCTCCTACTGTCTGCTCTGTCTTCTGTTCTGTCTTCTCTCGACTGTGTCCTCTGTCTTTTCAACTGTCTCCGCTGTCTTCTCGCATGTCTCCTCCTATGTCTTCTCTCTACTGTCTCCTTTTCTGTCTCCTTTTCTGTCTCCTCTGCTGTCTCCTCCGCTGTCTCCGCTGTCTCTTCTTGTGTCTTCTCTCTACTGTCTCCTCTACTGTCTCCTCTGTCTTCCCTTATGTCTTCTCTCTACTGTCTCCTCTACTGTCTCCTCTACTGTCTCCTCTGCTGTCTCCTCTGTCTCCTCTTCTGTCTTCTTTCTTCTACCTCTACTCTTCTGTCTCTTGTCTCTCGTCTTCTGTCTCCTCTCCACACAATAACACACACACATATATATATATACAATATTATATAACATCAAAATTTTATAGATATATACAATTAACAACAGATGCAGTATATTAATATTAATATATATGTATATATATATACTATATTTGATTTGCTATTAATTGCGGTGTCTCCTTAGATTATATGAAAAGTTGGTGGTGCTGGGAGCGAAGACGTTGGGGATCGTCTCCGAGATGCATTTTTATGAGATGTATGAAGAGGCTTCGAAAGTGTGGGGCCCCACACCAATAGATTTGCATGCAGAGAAGGAGGCTTTACGTTTACTCTGGGCAGGGAGAAGAGTAGAGCGTGTCTGCTCTCTCTCTGCTCTCTTTCTCTTCGGCAAGAGCTATCTAGCAGCAGCACAGAGCCTACCTACTCGTTTATCTATATCTAAATATATTAAAGCTTCTATAGGATTCTGCTGTCAGTGTACAAACACTGAAAATCTCTACAAGTGGATGCCTATCCTCATCGAACACATCTTCTGGACACAGAGGTAATATATTATTATTATTATTATTCGTATTATTATTATTATTCTTATTCTTATTATTTATATTTTTATTAATATATTATTATTATTATTATTATTATCATTAATACTATTATTATTATTATTATTATTATTCGTATTACTTGTATTATTATTGTTACTGTTCTTATTACTCATTAGTATTATTCTTATTAGCGTTATTCTTATTGTTATTATTACTCTTGTCATTCTTTTTATTATTATTATTATTCTTATTATGACTATTACTCTTTTCATTCTTATTATTCTTATTCTTATTACTCTCATTATTTTTATTTTTATTATCATTAGTAATATTATTATTACTCTTGTTCGTACTCATCTTCTCCTTTTTCTGTTTCTTATTCTTCTCTCCTTTGTCTCCTTTCTTCGTCTGTCTCCTTCTGTCTCTTTATTATCCATTTATTAATTTATTTATTTGTCTGTTCCCTTCTGTCTCTTTATTTTTTATTTATCTATTCGTCTGTCTCCTCAGGCTGCGTTCTGAGCGCCGCCCCGAAGACAACGCGCTGCTGCAGGATTTGCAGGAGTTGTTTGGTTATAAGTGTGAGTTGTATAATATCTTTATGATATAAACATAAATATAAATATAAATATAAATATAAATATAAATATAAATATAAATATAAAATATTAATATATAATATATAGTACAAATATTATATAACATAAATGTATATAAAGTTGAGGTTATAGTTGTCTGTAGTATCTTTATTATGTATATAAATATAAATATATATATATATATGTAATAAAATTTTATTGATTGAATTCAATTCAATTAACATTAGTTGTCTCTAATATCTTAATTATGTATATAAACGCATATATATATATATATAAATTTAATTAGGTTAGTTCAAAGTAATTAACATAAATTAACAAATATAATTAATTAAATTAAATTAAATTAAATTAAATTAAATTAAATTAAATTTGTTTGTTTTATCTGCAGTTGATCATCTGATCCCTCGCATTCGAGAATGCATAGAAGGGGCTCCGGTCCCTCAGCGTTCAGACACCCCAACAGGAAGAGAGTTATTGAAGTTGTATGCTGCAGATTATTTTAATAAGCTCTCCGATGTGAGTCTTTACGCTTACTTTCTTCCTTATCAACCCTTCATTCAAACCCTAAACCCTAAAGGGTTTAGGGTCTACGAATGAAAGGGCTCAGAATTTTAGCTATAGGGTTTAGGCTGTAAGGGATACGGTTTAGGTTTTAGAGTTAAGGGTTTAGGGTTTAGAGTGTAGGGATTAGGGTTTAAAGTGCAGCTTAATGGTCTAGGTTTTAGGGTTTAGGGTTTAGGGTTTAGGGTTTAGGGTTTAGGGTTTAGGATATATTTGTTTTATTCAGGAGGCGGGAGTCGATCCCGCGCGACGAGCGTTGTGGGTGGAGGAAGAAGTACATCATTTTCTTTCAGGCCCAGCTGTCTCTGCATTTGCGTATGCATGCGTCTCCTTGGGGCCCTACGTAGCTGCGCTCAAAGAAGAGGGACCTGTCAAGGCCCAGCACTTCGTTGATATGTTCGAGTGAGAAAGACATAGACTTATAAATATAAATATATATATATATATATATAGGTGCATGGATGTGCGTGTAGCTATTCATATCAATGCACATGCAGAGTTGTATGTTCGTTCACATAGAGGAGGAGAAACATACAAACAAGAACGTATATATACATTTATATACATATATATATATATACATATATATATGTATATTATATATGCATTTACAGTGCTGCGTATATATATATATATAGATAATATATGCATATATATACTTTGGCATATATGCAAAAGACAGGGATAGTTTGTATAAATATGCTGCATGCGACAGACGCGTGTGCATGCGTTGCAAGTGTCTCTTCTTCGTGTTATGTCTCTAGGAGACACCTGAAGTATTAGAGAGGGGGTAAATATCTTTTCTGCTGCTGCTGCTATTAATCAACGCATGCAAAGCAATCTACACCCTTACCCTAAAAGATATATCAGTGTCTCCGCTGTCTCTGCATGCAGGTCTTTACTTGCAGCCTGCTGGGTTATCTCTACCGAAGAGAAGGCAAAAATTTGGATGCCTAGTCTCATTCAGAGGCTGAGACAGGTGCGCAACAGCAGCAGCAGCAGCAGCAGCAGCTGCAGCAGCAGTAGTAGTAGATAGGGTCTCCTTTGTTTCCTTTTAACTGTGGTGTCTGTGATATTCTCTTTCGCCTGTCTGTCTCTGTCTCCTTGACTGGGTCCTCTTTGTCTCCTGATGCGTCTCCACTATATATTTTTCATAGTTTCTGGTGCATGCATGCATGCATGCTATGCTATGTTGTTGGGGCTTGATGTGGGGTGGTGTCTGCGCAGACGCAGCTAATGCTGCAGATGGCTAAGGCAGGAGGAGACAAGTACTTTATGAACAAAACCCCCTTTAATAAGCCTTCCAAGACCCCTATAGATATACGACAAGCCCCCAGCTCTAACAACGGCTTCATCGATCCCTTCGCCCTTTGGAACGTCGATCCCATGCGCAGACCAAACGCTGAAAGTCAGGCCTCTCAACGCCTACACTATACATCTATATATATATATATATGTATATATATATATATATATGTATATATATACACCTATAAATATATATATAGCCATATCTATATCTATCTACTATATATATATATATATATATATATATATATATATATATAACCCACACATA